TCCAATGTGCTTAGTATCAGTTCTCTGTGCGTCGGTATTGATATCGTTTAAATGATGAGATCTCATGCCGCGTAGCGGCGCTAATAGTGGCGAGAAAAACTTGTTCGAATATATCTATTCGGCAGTATATAAAGTCTTTCTCAAACATGCTTAGTGCCATTTCGCTATGTGTCAGTATTGAGTAATAAGTGTGACTGAAAAATAACGCATACCGCGTAGCGGCGCTAATAGTGGCGAGAAAGACTTGTTCGAATATATCTATTCGGTCATATATATTTCGCTACGTGTCAGCATTGAGTTATACGAAATGTGACTGTAATATAAGATCTCATTCTACGTATCTAGAAACATACAGGGATATATGTATTTTGTAGTAATTAAAGTCTCGTTTCAGCCATGTGTGATAGCATTGTGTAATAACTTTCGTGACTCGTCATCGTAAAGATGCATAATATAATATTGGGTTCTGGTAAGTTGTGCTCCAACCGAAATTCACAGACATATGAAAGCAAAGAATCTTTGCAGGAACTCAACTAATGGCTTTATTGAATAGACCATCGAATGTGAACATTAAATGTAGATCTGTCACGTTAACCAGTTTCTTATGATTTGCTGGATGTTTCACACATCCATCGAAATCAGGAAATAAAAAACTAAATTCTAAAAATGGAATTCTAAAAATGAAGTTCTAAAAATGGAATTCTAAAAATGGAGTTCTAAAAATGGAGTTCTAAAAATGGAATTCTAAAAATAGAATTCTAAAAATGAAGTTCTAAAAATGGAGTTCAAAAATGGAGTTCTAAAAATGGAATTCTAAAAATGAAGTTCTAAAAATGGAGTTCTAAAAATGGAATTCTAAAAATGGAGTTCTAAAAATGGAATTCTAAAAATGTAATTCTAATTCCGGTTGAGATAGTTGAATTCACTTCGCACTAATAACCTCGGGAAAATAAAGAATTCATCTCTTCTTTATCAACAGATAATATCGTTTTACATTTAAATTAATAATACTCTCCTGAATAAACGAGCAGTTTCACACAGTACAAGGCTTCTTATTTCTCTTGTAAAAGGCTTAACAGAGATCATGTTATTGTTAATTGTCGGTACCATTTTTGATCGTATCCAGGATTCCATTTATTATGAGTATGCCAGTAGTTTTAAGGCGCCACATATTTTCAATCTCAATTTCAACATCTTTTTATTTATTTTGCCATCTTCTTTAACAGGTGTATTTTATCTGATGACACTTCCATATCTATGAGGAAACAATTTTTTGTTTATAACTTGTAATAATTATGTTTGGTCTGTTAGCGTTTATGCACGCGCCAGTTCCAACCAATCGTGACTTTATGATTTTCTTTGACTTATTTAGGATGTGATAGTCACGCAATTCTAAAATAATAATAATGTTAGACATTATGAAATGCACAGGGCTACTAAGAGAACACCTGGGTATTGAGAATGAGGTTAGCCAACATAACTAGGGAAATATCCTATCAAGACATTTGGAAAGAGTCTCAATTGGAGACTGCCCGAGCGGACTGGGTTACGCGACCTGAAGCTATTTTAAGCTAGGCTTCACCTGTAAGGTAAAGGGTTCATTTTAACAAAACTCGCCTCTAAAATGCGCGAATTTGGCTGTGATGTAGGAAACTGATATACCCTTATAAGACTGGCAGTCATTATGGGTATGTTGGGGGTTCGTATATTTGTGACCCACCGTCACTTTGTTAGCGTTTTACACTTTTTCGTTACTACTACTACTACTAATAATAATAATAATAATAATGATACTACTACTACTACTAATAATAATAATGATAATAAACAGAGAAAAGCTCGATTTAAGAAAAGAAAAAAGGAAGTGTTTAACAGTGTTTCGACAATATGTCCTTTTCAAGTGATGTTTAAAAAGTGCATACAAGTATAAAATCTAAAATATACAAGTACTTTTACAAACGTCGCTTGTCTTGAGAAAAAACGGTTGTAATGGTAATCAATGCGAAAAAGCGAATGAAACGCAGCAGCATGACTGGAATGCAGGTGACACTTCGACGTGGTATAATGGGTTAGCGAGATCGTCTCTCTAGATCAATTACGACTGAGTAGTTATTTTCATTCTCACTGGGTGTTCCATACCTGCAGCCTTATGGACACATCTAAGCTTCGCTTATTAAATCACTATTGACAAGAAAAAGAATATCGCCAGCCATCTTGGTAGCCTAAATCATAATAGACGCCATTCGTTCACGGGCAAAAACTTTAAATAAAACTGTTGGTGAAATGACAGAGGTTAGCAAATATGTCTTCCCTCTCATGTCGTTTTTTTATGCCTGTTTTTCTCTTCAGTCGCTGTGTTGAAAGTGGTTGAAAAGAAATAAAATTGTTCAAGAAGAATTAATTAAGTTCTTGATATTTAGCTAGTTGGAGTAGGAAGATTGTGTTACGCCAGTGGTTCCCAAACGTTGTGGTGCGCCTCATAGATGCGGCGGAAAAGTATAGCAGGTGAGGCGGAATTATTAAAAGACAATCAAAGATTTAGAAACAGTTTCAAAAAATTCATTTGCCAAAAATAAATATGATTTCAAAATTAAAAATATTTTTATGGATTCCTTGTAATTGCATGCATCAGTCCCAGTATAAATAATTGTAAATAATTATTGATCGATTTTATCATTGAGATATTTTTGCATTATATCAAGTATTAAGAATGTAGTAACTATGGTCCTCAAATTAGAGGAGAGAGTTATCAATGATAATGTTATGACTTCGAATTCGCGGTTATCTTCCTTTAACTCTCTGTTTTTTTTATTTGTAAATGTACTTTTTATTATATTTGGTAAGGCGGGAGCAAATTTTCATTCTGAAAATGTGGCCCAGAGAAAAATACGTTTGAGAACCACTGTGTTACGGCAATCTTTTAAGAGATGGCAGACTGCCTAGAAAAGCAGCATTCGATATTGTTTTTTTTTTGTTTTTTTTATTTGAGTTTGAACACCGAACCTTGGCATTCCTGTTAAGGAAGAAATACGTTACATGTTCATTTACGAGGCAGGCCACTCGCAGCCTATTTAAGCAAGCGGCTTTTCAAATTAATAAACTGTATGGAGAAGAATAATAGATTTTTTTTCTAGTTTTCTTGTCTCCCCTTTCCTTTCTTTTGAAATGGCTGGAGTCTGTGATGGTAGCGCGCGAAATAATGCGAGTCTATGAGTAAAGAGTCAATGGAAGTCAGTTGGAACAAGATTAGATAGAAGAGGAACAAGCAACAACAATGGTAAGAGAATGGGAGGGAGAGGTTCAGGCGATGTGTGCGTGTTTGTTTTCGATAAAGAAACACATTGACTTTGCCTCATGTTGTAAATGTATTGAACAAGTTGAACACGGCAGATTTCAGAATCGTTTTAAGGCGTAGAGAAAAAGAAATGGAAAAATATAATTAGAGATTTCCATTTTTGTTAAATGTTGGGATGTTAGCATAGGCGTATATGCAAACGAGAAGAGAATAAAAGAAAGATGAAGAAAGAAGAAGAAAGAAAGAAAGAAAGAAAAAGAGTAAGAGAAAGAAAGAAGAAAAATGAAACCAAAAGAAAGATGGAAAGAAAGACATTGGAATAGAGAAATGGAAAGAAGGAAAGATGGATTTAAGAAGGAGAAAATAGAAAGAAAGAAGGAAAAGTAGATAGATAGAAAGAAAGAAAGAACTGAAAAAATGCAACATGGGAAAGAAGAAAAATGAAACCAAAAGAAAGAAGAAAATATACACGGTGAAAGAGAGGAACGAAAATTGTTAAAAGAAAGAGGGAATTAAGCAGGGGTAAATGGAAATATATATATATATATATATATATATATATATATATATATAGAGAGAGAGAGAGAGAGAGAGATAGATAGATAGATAGATAGATAGATATGAACAGACTAACATAGATAGATAGATATGAAAAGACTGAGATAGATAGATAGATAGATAGATAGATAGATAGATAGATAGATATAAACAGACCGACAAAGATAGATAGATAGATTGACAGATAGATATGAAAAGACTGAGACAGAAATATAGATAGCTAGATAGATAAGATAAATAGATAGATACAGAGTAGACTTAGATAGATATGAACCGACCGTGACAGACTAATAGCTAGATAGATATGAAAAGACTGATATATATATATATATATATATATATATATATATATATATATATATATAGATACTTGATAGATAGATAGATAGATAGATATGAACAGACTGAGATAGATAGATATATATAAGCAGAGATAGATAAAAAAGGAAAAAATTGAAAAACCTATGAAGAAGAATAAATAGAAAATGAGGAATAAATAAAAGGAGAAAAGAAAAACATTTTGAAAGAATTAAAACAGGAAATAGAAAGAATGAAATAAAAAGAAAATGGAAGAAAATATGAAAGAGAAATTGCTGAATGAAAAATCATATAAACAAGAGTATATCAAGAAACAGAAAGAAAAAGAAAACAAGAAAGGCGGCAAACGAAAAGATTTCCATAAAAACGAATGAAAATGATATAAAGAGAAAAGATCGAAATAGGAACAATAGAGATAAAAAGAAATAAATTGAATGAGGAAAAGAACAATAATAGAACATGAAGAAAAATAGAAAGAAAAAGAAAGAGAAATGGAAATAAAATTAATATAGGAAAAATGAAAAGAAAAGAAAAATAAGCAACAAAAAGGAAACGAAGAATAAGCAAAGAAGAAAAAGAAGAAAAAATGCAAAGAAAGAAAAAATAAGTAAAGAAAAAAATAAACAGATAAGAAAAGAAAGAATAAGCAAAAAAAAATAAGCAAAGAAAAATAGAAAAATAAGCAAATAAGTAAAGTAAGAAAAATAGGCAAAGAAGAAAGGAAAGTAAATAAGTAAAGAAAGAAAAAGAAGTAAAGAAAATAAAGAAAAAGAAGCGAAGAAAGAAAAAGATAGGCAAAGTAGAAAGGAAAGAAAATAGACAAAGAACAAAAGAAAGAAAAAAAAATAAGCAAAGAAAGAAAAATAAGTAAAAAAAAATAAACAAATAAGAAAAGAAAGAATAAGCAAAGAAAAAAGACGGAAAAAAATAAACAAAGAAAAGAAAAAAAAATAAGCAAAGAAAAAGAATGAAAAAATAAGCAAAGAAAATAAAGAAAATGAAGCAAAGAAATAAAAAGATAGGCAAAGAAGGAAGGAAAGAAAATAAGCAAAGAAGAAAAGGAAGAAAAATAAGTAAAGAAGAAAGCCAAAAGATAAGCAAAGAAAAGAAGCCATGTGCCAAATCAATAATGTGTTTGGAAACCTGGCAAGCCTTATTAGACATTTTCTCTCGGACACACAGACAGACAGACAAGCATAGAAAAACATATATGTATCTACAAAGCATTAGTCTGGCTTGTAGCCACAACTGCGAGACGCCCAGTTAGAATCAAACTTAATACACAGCAGGGAGATTCAGTGAGATTATTTGATTAATAATTCGCCAGCGGCTAGGCGTCTCGTTTCATATGCTTCTTCTTCTTCTTCTTCTTCTTCTTCTTCTTCTTCTTCTTCTTCTTCTTCTTCTTCTATGAGCCGCGTATACTTTCAGGACGTGGTCAGCCATTGCTCTTCACAACTTTCTGTTCTTTGTAGCTGTTAGAATCTTTTGCCTATCCTTCCTAATCTCTCTGTTCTTTACAAAGGTTATTCACTGCTTTCCATTCTTTCTCTTGCTATCATTTTATCCTGTGAGTGTCAAATTCTCCAAGGCCCTTTTCTCATTGGCTGCCCTAAAATTTCTTTGTCTCTAACTAGAAGTATCTTTTGTTTACATTTTCTCTAAAAGATTCATCGTTGCTCAGCATCTTTTCTCTAGAACCACATTTCTATTACCTAAATTCTTTTCTTCATCTGCGAGAAGAGTGGCCGATATTTGCTGCCATAGAGAAGGACTAATGTTATACAAGAGTTTTTGATGTAACGAAATTTTCTTGTTTTTTAATACTCTTCTTGGCGTTTGGAAGGCATCTTTTGCTATTTCAATGCAGTTTCAAATTGCGGTGTCACGTTTTCTGTCCTCTGTTAATAAACTTCCTAGATATTTAAATTTTCACACTTTTCGTCTCTAATTCGCAGTTTGCATTTTGGGATGTTCCATTTGGTGAGAAACGTATATTCTGTATTCTTACAACTGATAGTTAATCCTTTCTTCACATTTTCTTTTACTGTCTTTTGTAGATCTTGCAGTTTCCCTTCTTCTGCTGTCGACACTGTATCAGCCAAGTTTTAAAGTCAGATGAAGAAAATGGGTTAGAAAGATTATGCTCCGTCAGTTGAGGGAGAGCATGCTTTTTCTTTTACGTTCTATATCCTGTTTTGAACGTGTGTGATCATGGCTTTCCGCAGTATCCTGTCTTTTGTTGTTCTAAATAACTCTTTTGCCTTTACGATCTCTGTAGTCCGTGTTCTGCCCTTCATTTACTAATTCCTGTTGAGTAAATTCCTATCTGTTTTTCCTCGCCTTCTGTATACTCCGTGAGTGTTAATTTCTCCAAACTTTCTTTTCTCATTATGTGTTCCAAAAGAAGAGTGAAAGATGTCTATCAGAAACCGTTAAGTGATCAGAGAATATCTTTAAAAACCACGAAAACAGTGCTAGACTGTTATACAATATATTACAATACTTACCTGGCTTATGTCAGAGGGTAACTCCCCAGGCTAGTTTTTACGTAGTCTATAGGGAATTTTTGCCCGAGCCTACGGTCTCGGATACCCCACTTTAAACTCGGCCTTGTGCCACATCTTGCTGCGTGGGACAGAGGGTAAATAATTATACAATATTTGTTCTTCTATATGGCAATGAATGTGGGGTAATATTCCCGCCGATGAAGATCCTTGAAGCGACAGAGATGTGGTTCTACTGATGAATGCTGAGAATATTATACACAGAGTAGTGAAGATGTTTGAATTCTACAGAGAAAGCCCTTTTACCAATCAGAAAGTTACAAGTACAATCTTTGGGGTAGATTATAAGGAAAAAAAATGTCTGCTAAGAAAATTAGCATTTGGAATCTCAGGTTTCTTTCAGGGCAAAAACGGCTAAACATTGGCCATGTTGGAAAATACATATTTCAGTCAGGAGGCAAGACACATTCGATTCTTTTTTTTTTAAGCGTTTCACACCAAGCAAGGCGGGAAGTCACTAGCACACAAGGGGTTACAGAGAATTGGAGCTAGTGCAAATAGGAGTGATAGAGGAAAGGATGAAGAGAAGGATAGGGGATAGATCAGGGCATCTGGAGATGTCGATTGATATTACATTTGAATAGTTGGAGATTATAGCTATCAGGGAAACAGGAAGAGGGGAGAGAGATCCACAGGCGAAGGGTGCGAGACATGAAGCTATTGAAATAGAAGAGACGGTTACATTTAACAGTTTCGACAGTAAAAGGGTGTGAGTGAGATGTAAAACGCTTAAATTCATGAAGTCTGGGAACCAGCGAAAGCAGCTCATCGGAGAAGTTACCGTGAAAGTATTTGTCAAAAAGACAGAGGGAGGTGATGGCAAGGAAGTTAACCTCCGGCGGGACAAGTTTATATTGCTATAATTGTTCAACGTGGGAGGCCTGACTACATAACCTGAATGTTACAATTCAAAGCTAATATCTTGTAGATAGGCTCCAAAACCCACTTATGACACCGATTTTAATTATGCAATTACGTCTATTATGAATCAGGACACCATATACACATTATCACGAATAGATATTTACCAAACGTAGCATAGTCTGGTTCAAAATCGACTGGATTAAGAAAGTGTTATATGAAGATCGGTTTGCGACGATCGTTCAAATAGTACACCCTTGTGTAAATTAATTGAAACAACTGCTTTCTTTTACCATTCGGTCAGTTTTAGCCCCACTGGAGTGACAGGGTGTAATTAATTTCTACTTTTTCCTCAGATTAGATCATTTGCAGTGGTGTGCAGTAATATGAATATCTTTTGGAGGTGTATGATGACATTTTTTTGGCCTTGAAAAATATTGCGCCAGCCGTGATTGCATCTGATTTTTATCACGTCTAGACACTATTGTCTCGACTGTCGATTAGTTGTCCTACAGCCATTGTCTCCAAGGAATCATACGAAAATTGTAACACTGCACGAACACACTGGCAAGCCTTACTAGTGACCAAATCAAAGTATTATAGACTGTTCCGGAAATTCTCCTGATTTAAATCCAGTCGGGAATCAGTGATCAATCTGCAAGGAGCAACTTTCATTGGGAAAATAGGAAAAAAAGTAAATAATAACGAAATTATTCGTTTTGTTTCAATTAATTAGCACAAGGGTGTATGTACTTCCCTGCTTTGAAACGCAAAAAGGTATTCATTAACTTTCAGAATTCTTATGGTAGAGAACTTATTGGAATTATTTATTAACTTTAATTTAGTCTGATGTTCCCAAGCGGTCTCCCATATAAGTACTGGCCGGACTCGATCGGGGGATCAAACGTGATTTGACCATAAGCATAAGAGGAACTAGAAAATGAAGATTATTAGGGTATGGTAGATAGATAACGATTGATCCGAGACTTGAAGACGTAAACATTGGATCAATTCACCCCAAGTAAGTCGATAAAGCCACTAAGATGCAAGGAGCTACTGGGAGTGACTTTAGAAGGAACCTGAAAGCCAATCCTAAACAGGAATCCAGAGATAAACCTCTAAAGACCGGGGAGGAGTGTGAACCTGTCAATAAGCAAACTTATCTACTAAATAATTACCATTTACATTACACGTAAAGTAACCTTATTCTACCAGTAATATGTTTTAATCAGTTCACCCCAAGCAAGGCGATAAGGCCACTAAGACGCAAGAGGGAGCTACTGGGAGTGAAAGAGAAAAAATACTTTAAAAGGTACTGGAAGCCCAATCCTAAACAGAGATGGTGAAAGCATTCCTTCGAGAGTCTATTTCATAACGTAAATCGTTTGGGGAAGAAGTTGAATAGAACTTCCTCTTTACCAATGAAATACGAAGGGAATAAAGTTGAGCTGACTGTGTCCGCGGCACGGCTTGTGATTTCTGTGAATATCTGGATTGGTGGAACTAAGGAATGCATCGCATCTGAAAATCTGTCATGTAAATAGCCTTGCTGTTTCTGTTGGAAAAAAAAAAAAGTTTTGTAAGGCGGAAAATTATTCATCACCCACAAGGCCAGGATCAATTAAGAATTTATTTTAAAAATTCGTCCTTGTTAACTACACACTTTTTAGGAATTGTGTCAGCGCGGAATTGTATCCTAAATTATGTTTTTCAATCGAAGTTTTTCTTTTTCTTTAACTTACAAATATTATGTTATAGGATCAGATGCATAGCACAAAGAATGTGCAATTACTGGGGGTAACCCCCACCCTTACAAGACGTTAGTAATCTGGAGATGGTGGTGTCGTAGAGGGCTTAAAGTTATGTTGAATCGGGTGTTAAGGTGACAACGCTGACATACATTTGAAGGCAAACTAATCCTTATATTCTTCTAAATGAATATTTAAATAAAATATCTAATTTCTAAAGAAGTGATGAATTTTTCTTTATTAATCCGACACATTTTATTACTTGTCTATATCTCTGAGATGAGGTATTATGATTAATTGTATTATTTACATTATTCAGACTGTTATCCTCATCTTCATTGCCATATTCACAACGTTTCGGCCATTGTGCGCTCCGGCCTTCTTCAGGTGATTGTAATTTCAAATCGAACCCTTTATTTTGTTCATCAGAGTAGACTGTTCTAGTTCCACGTGCCATACCTCTTCCAGATGTCCCAGTTATTTTCTTTTACACATAGCCTAGTGGATAAAGGCATTGGTTAGATCCAATGACTAGACCCAAAGAGTTGTGAATTCAATACCAGGTCATAGAAGTGGTGAACCAAAAACTTAGACAGGTGAGTTAAAGGGAAATAACTGAGACAGCCGGAAGCGGCATGGCACGTGGAACTAGAACAATCTGCCCCGGAGGATGAAATAAAGGGTTCGGTTCGTAATTCAAATCCCCTAAAGAAGGCCGGAGCGTACAACGTTTGAAACGTTGTGAGTATGGCAATCAAAATGAGGATAAGATTTCGAATCATGCAAATAATGCAAGATTTTATTACTTAAACGTCATTTTTAGTGCATAGCCATATTTGTGCAGACTTTCAGTTTAGTTATTAAACAGGTATATTTACTTATTTTCCTCTCTCTGCATGAATATTCAATAATTCTTATTTAAGAAAAATATACGCTCTCCGGCAGGACTCGAACGTGCTCCTTCCACCCCAGCAGGGAAACCGTAGTTAAATAGGACGTGCTTTTGACAGTCTCGGCCACGAAGTGCGTTTCAAAGGACACACATTTCAAATAGTTAGCTTTTCACCTGATCTGTAACTCCTTTCTGAAGAGGAGGGTTTACATCAATCGACGATAATTTACCAGTGAAGATTGTCTTTGGAACGCTATTCTGGATGCTGAGAAATCTGTTCCATATGAACAATTACTAAAATCAATGGATGAATTTCTAAAACTAGTTTTCAAAATATGGAGCATAGATTTCGCATTGATGTTGTTTGTCGTCCTTACAATGACGCCGTCTTCTATATTTTTTTCTTCTAAATTATGTCTTGGTGAAATTTGCAAATGTTTCAGTGACCTGGCTTGTAATTTGAAACTAAGAAAATCATATAAAAAACATCAAATATTCATAAAATTGTTGCCATATTGTAAGTGTGACGTATTTAACTCGATTGGCTTTCTTATGGAGCCACTGACACAGCCAGGTGTTGTTGCTGTAATTTCTGAAGAAAATAAGTTTTATGGGGTCTGTCTATATTTCTGAGATGAGGTATTATGTACATTATTTACATTATTCGGACTATTGTCCTCATCTTTGTCGCCATATTTATCACAACGTTTCGGCCGTTGTACGCTCCGGCTTTCTTCAGGTGGTTGGAATGTCGAACTAAACCATTTATTTCGCTCTCTGGGATAGACTGTTCTAGTTCCACGTGCCATGTTTGATGGATGTCAGTTATCAGTTATCTCCTGTTAATTTTCCCTTTAAGGCAGTGGAGAACTTTCAGAGGGAAAATTAAAATTATCCCTACAATCTTGACCAATTTAAGTCTAGAATCAACCGTTATCTTTCTTGCATAGCCTCATGAATTTCTCTTCTTGGCTTTTCTTATGCTCATTCTACACCACACTGTAACCCTCTACCTTGAGTCGCTCTTGGGCCTTATAGTGAGAGAACATTTGTATAAAAAAGTAAGATATACGATAAGAAAAAATCCTTCTATCCGTATCATAATTTTCATTCCACCAGTTCAAAGCTCCATGAACTTCTCGCTCTTCCATCCGCTCATATAAAACCAAACACTGACCCTTTACCTTGAGTGACTCTTGGGCCTTGTGTTGAGTGAACATTAATATAAAAAATATTAATAGTGTAAATATTTTCGTGGATTTCTTCATTATTTTTTAAAAATTAGGAAAAATTAAATGTAGCTAATAATCTGAGAAGTGTATATAGAAAAGAATTAAGATGTGAAGGCTTTAAATCATAACCAAGTCTTTCCTTGTACTCTTTAATGTGAATCTTTAATAGACTTGTTTTTGTTTCCTTTTGCAATCTCTAAAAAGAAGAACAGGTGAACCTAAATGAATTTCATTTGTCGCGTTTTTTTTTAATCATTTCACTCGAATCAAGGTGATAATGCCACTAAGATGCAAGAGAGCGAAAGAAATGTTGGTAGGGAGAAAGGACAATAAAAGAACAAGGTTCAGAAAGATAGAAGATGGTGATTGATGTTACATTTAAATTTTTCAAGCTCGTGCCTGACAGGAAAACAAGAATCCGGAAGAGAATTATACAATGAGACCTAGTTGCCAATCGAGTACTAATATTAAATTCATGAAATCGAGGTGCCAAAGAAGAAAGCGCATTTCAAAAAACTGCCATGAAAATATTTATAGAAAAGCCACAAGAAAGATATGTTACAGTGGGAAAGTGACTGAAGCCGAGATGCCAGATCACGACCGATAACATTACAGACCCTTCTCTGAAGTTTGTCAAAAATCGTGAGATATATAGCAGGAACACCAGACCAGATGTGGCAGCGATATTCAATGCACAGTCGCATAGTAGATTTATAGACAAATAAGGTCGATTCTGGCAAGAAAAAAAAAAAAAAAATCACAACACAGTGAACCGACTTTCTTAACAGCAAACCTAGCAATTAATTCAATATAATCGGTACACATTATATCAGTTGAAAATGTGAGACCAAGAAGGTGCATCGAGTTGCTCTCCTGGAGGTTAGCATCGGCCATACTAATGGAAGGCTAAAACGGTTCTCTATGATGATTAAAAGATAGCAGTTTTGTTTGGGAGGCGTTAAAATTTACAAGCCATTCTTTGTTCCAGTTAACAACTGATTGGACATCATTTTCGAGAGCAGCTTTTACTTGTGTGAATATTCCAATATGAAGCTTGTGCTTTAAGGTGAACATATGTATAATATTATTACTAAGTTAAACTTAGTATGATACAAGGGTAGAAAAGGAGTAGGAAGATTATGTTACGCCAGTCTTCAAGGTCAGCTTCGAAAATCAGAATTTCAGATTCTGGCCTTTACTAGAATTCGAATACCGACCTCTCGTACCAGTAGTGAATAAGTAACTATTTCGATATTTTCTAAGTCCTCTTTATCGTGGCATAAGATCAAATATATATTATTTACATTACTTACATTATTTTCATCTTCATTGCCATATTCACAACGTTTCGATCGTTGTACGCTCAGATTTTCTTCAGTCGACTGGAATTTAGAACCGAACCCTTTATTTCGCCCACCGGGGTAGATTGTTCTAATTCATCGTGACATGTTTCTTCCGGATGTCTCAGTTATTTAGCTTTAACTCAGCTGTCCAAGTTGTTGGTTCATCAATGCTGTGGCCTGGTATTGAACTCACAACTCTTTGGGCCTAGTCACTGGATCTAACTAACGTATTTATCCACTGGATAAATAATGCAAGTAATCATAATACCTCATCTCAGAGATATAGAGAGATATCCAATATGTAACTGAGAAGAATAGAGTAGAAAGATTATGTTGCGTCAATTTCCCATACATGGGGGATCTACTCATCTCAATAATAAACGGCTTACGGCCACAACACGTTTAAGCATTGGTTCCCATACGATATCCGGAGTTAAGCAAAGTCGAGCCTGGTTAGTACCTAGATGATTGATCATTTGGGAATACCAGGTGCTATAAAGTTGGATGTGAGGGTGGTGTAATGGATAATGCATCGGGATTGTTAATCGGAGAGCCGAGTTCCAATTCCACTCATTGTTCGCCATGCTTATTTCTCTCCTCTTCCACCCCTCTCTCTTTCTCTCACACACTTTCTCTTTTAAGCGGAAATATCCTTGGGAAAGGTAGGAATCTGCTTCTTCTCCCCCAACTATGGGTTAATTAGTAAGACTTAATCCCTAAACCATTATTATCTAAAAAAAATCTGGCTTTAAATAACCTGCAAGAGGTTGATAAACGGTAGAAAACGAATCGATCAATAATAAATATGCATGATCTTTAACCCGAACTTGAACCCGGAACTATTTAATTAGAAGGCAACATGAGGCAATGCAAAAACGAGTTATTAGTTTGGTTTGCAAGAGGGAGGAGCCATAATACTTCGTTAAATTTTTGAGACCTAGTTGCCAATACGAGCCTAGTATGGCACAAGACTTCAATTAGGCGGTGCTCAGTGAGTATAAAACTTATTATGATGGTAATGGCTTGTGAAACAAGCTTGCTCACCACTGTTCCACTCCGAGGCACGATTTTCTATACTTAGGTTAGTGTGACACGTGTGGAAATGTAGGGCAATCATTTAGTATTGAATTCTCTACTGTAGGAATTGAGAGACAAGTGCGTTCACAACTGCTCCACGGTGGGGCGCCCGTGAGAATACAGGCTTTAATTTTTCTTTTCTTTTCTTTTTTTTTTTTTTAATTATGCAAGAACATACGCTTTTCCCGATTTTACGAGCTGTCGTCGTCGTTGATTCTGTATTTTTGTCAAGAGACGTATTATTCAAGGAATACCGAACAAATATAGAAAGAAAGAAAAAAGAACGGGCGAAAAAAAGAAAGAAAGAAAGAAAGAACGGTCGAAAGAAAGAAAGAAAAAAGAAAAAGGAAAGAAAGAATGCATTGTCTATATCGTGAATAAAGAAACAAATGAAATTGAGAGAGAGAGAGAGAGAGAGTGAGAGAGATGGGGGGGAGGGAGGTTTAGGGTGTGGAAGGAAAAAGTTAGAAACAACTAAAAAGAAGAGAAAGAGGAAAAGAAAAGGGGAAAGAAGAACATTAAAAAGAAAAAGAAAGGAAAAAGAAAAAAGAATACAGCTAATAGAAAGAAAGACTAATAAAACGAGAGAGAGAGAGAGAGAGAGAGAGATGAATGAAAGAAAGAAAGAAAGAAAGAAAGAAAGAAACAGTGAAAATTAGCGAGAAACGAAGGACAGACATAAAAAAGGAGTAAAGCAAAAGAAATAAAACAAAAGGAATTCGATAATTAAAGAAAATTTCCCAAAATTGGATATAGGAATCGGTAAATAGAATGAGAAAAGAAACATTAAAGAAAGAAGAAAGCGAAAGTAAGGAAAAAGAAAAAGTGAAAGTGTGGAAAGAATGAAAAAAAAAAAGAAAAAAGAGAGAATCGCTGAATCAATCGATGGGAAAAAAGAAGGAAAAATAAGAGAAAACGAAAAAGAGAGTAACAGAAACATGAGAAAAAGAAAGAATCAAAGAAAACGAAGATGAAAAAGAAATCAGAGAAAGAGAAAGCGAGGGAAAGGGAGAAGCAGAGAGAAGCAGAGAGAGAGAGAGAGAGAGAGAGAAAGTGTGGGAGAGGGAGAGAGGGAGGGAGAGTGGGTGGGAGAGAAGAGAAATAAGCATGGCGAACAAATGATTAAATAAAAAATAGGATAAAAAAAAAAAATGAAGGAAAATACGCCAAAAAAGGAGAAAGTCAAAATGAAAAATCGAAAAATGAGAAGGAATAGAAAAAGTAAGAAAGAAAGAAAAAAAAAAAAAAAAAAAAAAAAAAAAAACTAAACTAAATCAAAGAAAGAATTGAAGAAAAACAGGAAAGTTGGAATGAAGATAATAAAAATTATTTAATGAAGTAGAGAAAGAAAAAATGGGCGGAGTCAAAAATATGAATGAATGGAAATCAGTGAAGCCCCGCCGTAAAAAAAAAAAACGAAAAAAAAACCCAAAAAAACAACAAAAAAAAAACAAACAAAAAAAAACAAACAAAAAACTCTCCTCTTTTTTGGTGCATTTATTTATTTTTGATTCAATGAATCACTCTCCCATACCGAATGAGTGACATTAATTTAAAAAAAGAAGGATTTTAAACCAATTTTATACTTAAATAACATTTCTGAAAAACATTGCCGAATGGAAAGCCTTTTTTCGTATTTTAATTTTCTGTTTTATTTTTTTTAGTCAATTTTTTTCGTCGTTCCTTTTTTTTATTTTCACTTTAAATTGTCGTAACTTTATGTCTTTACTTTTGCGTCGACAGAAGTGAAGAAAGCCAAGATCGTTGATAATAATATTAATAATAACAATAATAATGAGAAGAAGAAGAAGAAGAAGAAGAAGAAGAAGAAGAAGAAGAAGAAGAAGAACCTCTTAAAAAAATTCCAGGAATCCAACTTTATGTGAAAAACAAAAGATCGTGGTAATGTGTACTGCTCATATATTTAGAAAGAAAGAAAGAAAAAAACAAAACAATTACTTTCCAAGAAAAAACCTTTGTTTTGGTCTCAGGTGAAATACAAATAATCGTTCAATGATTGCAACCAAGAGGAAATAAAATGAAATAAACGGTTTTAAGGGAGATTTGTTGGCACTTTTTCTCTTGTATAAATCACCAAATCCACCTTCTTGCAGGAAACGCGGCGACAGGTAATTCTCTTTGGAAGAAAACAGATTACACTTTTCGCACTTCCCTCTACCCACGGAGTGCTTCTGAAGAAAATCAGCACAAAGTTGAGATATATATATATATATATATATATATATATATATATATATATATATATATATATATATATATATATATATATATAAATGTTGTGCCAGAGACAGAAACAACATAGCAATTTACATAGGAAAATGTTTCAAAAGAATTTCCAAACAAAGTGTATAATTTTAAAAAGTAAATTCGAACAAAAAAGGTAAAAAGTTTAAATTTGTGTCTTTTGGGCGCGAAAAATAAGATAACAGTTTTCTCATTCATGGTTGTCTAAGGAAGATTTTCCTTTTTTTGAATTGACGATAATTTTCTTATTGCTTTTTATTGACAGAATGTTTTTATAGCGAACAAGAGAGTCCTTGTTTATATTATAGGAAATAGGCACAAAGAGAGAGGGAGAAAGAGAGAGACAGACTCAAAGAAATGTTCAATAAAAGTAAGGCAGGGAGAAATAGAGAGATATAGATAGACACAGCGAAAAAGTATGTATCTACGAGAGAAAGATAGAAAGCGAAATACAAAGTAAAAAGAAAATGAGAGAGAGAGAGAGAGAGAGAGAGCAGTTAAAATGAGGGGGAAAGAGAGGAAAGATGAGAGAAGAAAAAGAGAGAGAGAGAGAGCATGTGCAAGAAGCAGTAAGAGAAAAAGAGACTGTGGAAAAGATAAAACAAAAAGAAGGAGCAGATAATAGAGAGAGTGAGAGAAAGAAAGAGAGTGAGTGAGAAAGAGTGCGAAAGAGCCAAAGAGAGAGTGGGCGAGGTAAAAAAAGATAGGGCGGGAAGGAGTTAAAGTGAAACAGAGGGTGAGAGAAAGAAAGTGAAATAATAAAATAGAGAGTAAGGGTCAGTAAGAGAGGGGGAGTAGAAATGCAAGGAAATGTATTTGCGATTTTCGTTTGTTCTTAAATGACCAAAATTCTCTTCGAAAAACATCTTCCACCCGCATACCCCAAAACTGCACCCACACTTGATTATATATATATATATATATATATATATATGTGTGTGTGTGTGCGTGTGCGTGCGTGTGTGTGTCTGCGTGCGCACGCATCGTTAAACAGACAGCGGCGATGAAAAAAAAAATGCCAAGTTGAACAAAAGATGGAAGCAAAGAACATGGTTTTTGAGATTTTTTTTTTTAACAAAATTCAAATAATTATCAAAGATATTTAGTTAAGTACGGTACAAGGCCAAAATTTGTGGGTACTTAATGAAGGTACATAGTCCTTCACCAACTATATACAAAAGGTACTGGACTGAGTCGCTAATCGCATTTCCACATTCGAGGTGTTTATTTAATAACTATTTCCTATTTCGTGGGTGGATGAAAGGAATATTTGCAGGTTGGAAGAAGTTGTCAACTGAGGCGCGCAAAGACCTCGTGGCTCGAGTTATCTAAGAAACAGCTCTCTTTTCGTACAACTTACGCGCTTGCTGCTAAGACAGGCTTATTTTGTAGAATGTCACTATTATTAAAGAAGTCGGTAAAAATATCGAACAATCGACGAAAGAAAACAGCAGCGACCAGGTTACAACTCGGCAAAATCATTAATTTTTGTATGTTCCGGCACTGACCGCTGTAAGCAATGGGGCATGACAGATTAAATACGTTGGCGTTTGACTCGAACCAAACACGGTTTCGTAAATTATGGGTCATAAATTCAAACAATAATATTTAGTCATCGAAGTCGATTTCGTTGAGAAGATTTGATGAATCAATCGTTAAGAGTAAGATAGATAGATAGATAGATAGATAGATAGATAGAGAGAGAGAGAGAGAGAGAGAGAGAGAGAGAGAAAGAGAGAGATAGAAAGCGAAAGGGAAAGCGAGAGATGGGTGTGATGGAAAGCGAGAGAAAGGGAGAGAGAGAGAGAGAAAGAAAGAAAGAAAGAAAAAACACATTTTTTTCATTCCAAATACATGAACACAATGGGATTTATGAAGGGGTGCTGAAAAGACCCATTCCCTAAAATTTGATCAAATGTAAGAATTTATTTTGAAATTCATTTTTTGGTCGGGCCGAAAGCATTTCAACACCCCCCCCATAAGAACACCAGAGTTCTTTTCTTTTTTTCTTTTTTTTTTTTTTACACTTTCAGGAGAAGAAAAAATATTGCCGGTTAAGATAAATGTACATACATGCCTGTATACAGCATGATTTACGATAAGTTGGTCACGTGATTTAAAAACATCTTCCAAGTACGCCGGGTTCTGTAACTAAATATTTTTCTCTCGGGGTGAGTTTTTTTTTTTTTTTTCTTTTTGCTTCTGTTTCCGATTTTATGAAAATTTAACATTTTTAAGTTTAGATTTTGTAACACTTTCGATGCAAGAACTTAGGAAGAAAACAATAAAAAAAGATGAACAATTTTGGCGCGCTTTTAAACAACAACAACAACAAAAAAAAAAGACAGATTTTCGAAGACAACACTGCAAACGACAGGCTATTGTGAAAAGCAATAAAAATAAAAAAATAAATAAAAACATTGGAATGGGGTGGATTTGAATAGATACAAAGGATTGGCTGGGTGGAACTTCGAGAGACATTAAGGGTGGAAAAAGAAAGGAATTGTACCTTTGAGACAAGTTAAAACACCTGGCGTGATGGAAATGATATTGTCTCCACAGAAAGAGCGACACACACACACACACACACACACACACACACACACACACACACACACACACACACACACACACACACACACAACGTACGCGCACACACACATATACACACATGCATAAAACAATAGATGGGAAGTTGCTGTACACACTCATACACACATATACACGAATTGTGCATACATAAAAATAGTGTGTACCATACAATACGTATATATGCGCACACGTATATACACGACAGTAGTTCATAAAATAACTGTGTGTGCGCGTGTGTGCATTGTCGAAAATAATTACTTTGACATGTTTGGTTGATGATCCCCCTTTTTTCTGATGACGGCGGATCATTACCGAAACATGTCAAGGTAATTGTTTTTTTTTTTTTTCTCAAACTCTCTTACATATTTCCTTTTCCGTTGAATTTTCATCCAACTTTACGCGCACACGCGCGTGCACACACGCGCGTGCACACAAGCACACACCCACACACACATGCGCGCACACACACGCATGCACACACATATGCAATAGACATTTAATTAAAGAAAAAAATAATTGTTTATAACATACCATATAGCCGGCTTGTGTTGACACTGTATTTCCGTCTATAGACGATGAAGATGAAAAGATTATTTTTGCGTTCTCAGAAAAAATTCAAATATTTAAAATATATTATTATTGTTGTTTTTGTTGTTATTGTTGTTTGAGTAAGTTATACTGCTCGGAATTTGTTTGTAAATTAAAAATCAAATTCCCCCAAAAATGGTGTTACTTTTTTTTTTTCGTTCTCTTTTTTTCTTTCTCTCTCTTCTTTTTCTTTTTCTTTCTTTCTTTTCTTTCTTTCTTTTTTTTTTTTTTTTTTTATAAACCGCTGTTTGGTTCCTGTTTTATATAATTGAAAGAAAAATTTCTGCAGGTAAGGATTTGTCGAAAAAAATCCTCCAAAATTAGCCTGCGTTCTATAGTATCAATCCGTGCGCGGCCGACAGCAAAGTGAGTGTTCACACTTTGGGTAAAGTAAAAGCACCCCGAAACACGCATACACACACCAACGAACATGCACACGTGTGTATTCTGTGTGTAGCTGATAAATTCTTTGGTGTTATTCACCTGCTAAAATTTTTTTTTTAAATCCTGTCCGTTATTTCGGGTATTATTATTATTATTATTATTATTATTATTATTATTATTATCTAAGTGGTCCAAATTTACACGAACGGCGAAGCGAGTGTGTGCGACAGCTCGGCACACGCGAACAACAAGGAGACTCAACCCTCTCTTTGCAAACTCT